CGGCCAGGAGAGAGAATATGGGATCCACCGGACTGGCAAAGGCCACACCCAAGTAGGGATGGGATCGGCCAGGAGAGAGAATATGGGATCCACCGGATTGGCAACAGGCCAAACCCAAGTGGGGATTGGATCGGCCAGGAGAGAGAAACCAAGAGGTATGGGACCCATTGGATTAGCCAAGGCTCAAAACCAAGCGCATCCCAAACTGTTGTTGGGATTGGCTAGGAAGGAGAAAGCATGGAGCATGGGGCCCATGGGATTGGCACAAGCTCAAATGGGATCGGCCAAGAGAGAGAAACCAAGAGATATGGGACCCATTGGATTAGCAAAGGCTCAAAACCAAGCGCATCCCAAACTGTTGTTGGTATCAACTAAGAAAGAGAAAGCGTGGAGCATGGGGCCCATGGGATTGGCAAAAGCTCAAAACCAAGAAGGGATGGGATCGGCCAGGAGAGAGAAACCAAGAGATATGGGGCCCACCGGATTGGCAAAAGCTCAAAACCAAGCGCACCCTAAGGGATGGGGTCAGTTAGCAAGGAGAAAGCAAGGATCAGAGGCCCATCGGATCGGCAAAAGCTCAAAGCCAAGCGCACACCAACTGGGGTCGGTTGGCAAAGAGGAAAATGTGTAGGGGCCCACCGGATCGGCAAAGGTGTAGAAATCCATAATAAAGAGAAGGGTCCACTTGCGCATGGGATTGGCTATCCGCATTTGGATACTCCACATGGGAATATGACAGTCCACAGTTGTTGACGCTTGAATAGTTTGCAACATGCATGAAAATTCATATTTAGATATTTCACATGCAAGATGTGGAAGCAACACGCATGAGTAGGAATCACATTTTTGGATATGACTAGCAAGCCCAAGAAAGGAAAGGTATGGCTCATTTTCGGGCTCAGCCATGAGCCCACCACGGCAGCATGCGCCCAATCCGAAGAAACCACGTTCCAAAATACTACTTAGATCATTTTTCCCTCTCCACCCGCGAAGCGTGTAGAGAGGAAAAAAGGGGGGCACTGTGGAGACCAAATCTAACGTATCATGGCCTAACCCATATGCCACAACTAAAGGACGTGGGATGAGCAAACTTCCCACCCATTAGAGGAGAGCGGAACAAGGGAGACACAAATTGCTCGTCTGATCCCATTACCATGAAGTGGAGGAAGGGATGCGCAAAGCTAGGGAAGTGGGGCTAAACCCACGACCTCGGAGTGCTATAAAAACCCAGCTAGACCTCCAGCAAAGGTACATTAAATTGAACCGAACACTAAGAGTACGTTGCACAAACACTGACTTGAGCGTCGGAGTGACTTTTGCAGGTACTCACCCCTTTTCCATCGTTCGATTTCGGGAACGTAATCCGGAGTTCTCTTTCAACCAAGGAAGCGTGCGGACTTCAGTCAAGAACCTGTGGAGGTATTTCTTCTTGAAAGAAATCCTGCTCCAACTGTAACTGAGGCCTTTCTTTTATGCTCGAAATCTTGTTGAGGTTGTTAGTGATTAATTGAGTAGTTCAAAATTGAGGGAAGTTTATGAATTCTTTATTATCATTCTCACTTGTGAGCCTAATATGATATTATTTGCATCAAGTGGCGGTTGTGGTGTTTATACCAACCCAGTTTATTTGTACACCTCCTTTTCTACTTAGCCTTTCATGAATGTTATCGTGTCAGTATTTTTGGACTTTGGTATGTGACATGTTTGATTGCATGAATTCTGTTTTTGTGTATGCTGAATGATTGGGATATATAAATGCTTGTTTGACAGGTGGAAGATTTTGGGAAATGAGCAATTTACAGGGGAGACTCTGCTGAATTTTCGGCAGAAGTCTAACTTGAAGTAAATTTGATTTTTAGTTAGAAGGGCAATTTGGTCATTTGTGTAGGCACCCACCAGGTGTCGGACAAGCACAGGGTTCGGCTAGGTTCCAAAGTGAAATTTGGGTCGGGTCCTGTCACATACGACTAAGCCCAAAACAAAACTAATCCATTAACTATATCTGGGGATGGCAAAAATTCCCGCGGGGGCGGGTCCCCGTCGGGTTCCCAACCCTAACTGAGGGAGGTTTCGAGGCCAAATAGGTATCGGGTATGAGGATCCCCGAACTTGAAAAATTCTAAACGGATATGGGGAGGGGATGGTATTGGTGTCCCCATCCCCGAACCCGGCCCAAAAATATATATGTTTATATTTAAATAAATAAATAAATAATTATAATATTTATGTTTAACCCTAAGTGAACCTCCCTCTCGTAATTCTTCCTTATCTTTTCTGGAATTTCATATTGATGTGATTTTGAATAGTTGAGTTGAACTTTATAGTTAATTTGGATGTGTTGAATAATAATTTAATATGAAACTTAATGTTAAAATGTATGACAAATATTTTTTATGCAAAAAAAATTGGAAATTCGGGGCGGGTATGGGGGATAGTCCCTCGATGGGGACGGGGATGGGGATTTCCCGAAACCTATTAAATGGAGATGGGTTCAGGGACGGAGGCGGGGATGGTATTGTCATACCCGGCCCCTACCCGAACCGTTGCCATCTATATCCTTATTATTTTCCATGTTATTTGATTGTTACCAAATTTTCCCAGAGAGAGAGAGAGTGAGGCAAGTCACAACACTTGATGCGCACTACCACACAAAAGGTAAGTCACAAAAGGAAAAGGCAACACTTGTGTTTTCTTGAGGATGGGGAAAGTGGAAGAAAGATTATGTAAATAAATAAGAGGATGGGGAGGAAGTGGGGGAGGTAGAGGTTCTAGAACCCCATCTGTATGAGCATTTGCTCTCTTATTCTAATTATTACCTCTTCTAGAGTTAGGTAGACCCAAGGTTGTCCAAGCCATACACAGGACGCAGATCAATTTTAAAGAACGAGGAATAGCCGTGAAGTGGTGTATATGATGATGTAAATGAGGTCTGGGGTTAACTTAGGATGGGAGTGAAAGGGGAATGAAGAAGATGTAAATAAATAAGGAAGAGGAAATGAGGGAGGTAAATGGTAGATCGGTGGGTTTAATTTTAGGCTTGGGAGGGGAGTGAAAGGGGTAGGGATTACTCTTGCATGTGCTCTATCTTCATCATGACATTGCTATTCTTAGTTATGGAGGACATCGGAGAGCAGAGGTACTGACCTTGGCCAGGCACAAAAGAGGGCTAGATTTTCTTACGAGTAGAGTGAAATTTCAAATTTAAGTTTTGGCTTGGGGCCTTTTATACTAGTAGGTGGGTATGGTTATGCCTTTAAGCTCACCATTTAATCTATGTGAGCGGCCTTGCGTCAATGATTTTTAGCTTAAAGCGAGCGGCCTTGCGTTGAATATACTTGAAATGTGGTTGTGTCTAAGGATTTATCCACGACAATGTGTGTGCCTTTTAACCTTTCGCTATCCTCGATAAGGCTTGCCACCACATCCATGTCATCGTCCGTTTCGACAAACAATGTGTCAAGCATGTGAATTGTTCTAGAGCCCGATCTTTATCAGCATTTGCTCTCTTATTTTGGTTCTTGCCTCTTTTAGAGTTAGGTAGACCCAAGATTGTTGCCATGAAGAGGTGTAGATTATGATCTAAATGAAGTATGGAGGTTAACTACGGATGTGAGTGAAGGGGGAAGGAAGAGGATGTAAATAAATAGGAGGAGGAGGAGGAGAAAGTGGGGGAGGTAGATGTAGAGGGGTAGGTATAATTATGGGCTTGAGAGGGGAGTGATTCGGCAAGGGGTTGCTATTGCATGTGCTCTCCCTTCATCATGACATTGCTTTTCTTGGTGATGGAGGACATTGGAGAGCAGAAGTACTGACCTTGGGTAGTAAATTTTCGTACAAGTATCGTGAAATTTCAAATTTGAAGTTTCGCTTTGGGGCCTTTACGCAAGTAGGTGGGAAAAGTAAATTAATCTAAGCCTTTTATCAATGCCCACACCTATGTCTTTTCTTTCATCTCTGCACACGGAAGGGGTCTTGTTGTAGCCGTGTGTTGACCTTTTATATAGGCACAAGGTTGTATTGTAGTCGTGTGGTACAACCTTTCATCTATGTACATGGAGAAGTTATGTTGCAGCCTTTCAATAGTTATTAGGGGAATACTAGCCACTAGGAGATTGTACGTAGAATAGTCGAAGGAAATTTAAACTCTCCAAAGAAATTTAAAAACCACAAAACTCATTTTTTTTCCCCGTTTTATCCTGTCACACATATATGGCTTTAATTAATCCACCCACCCATCACTCATTTCTCTTCCTTTATTTCTCCCCAGTGCACATTACTATTTGTTACTGAAGCTGCATATGTGGCCAAACACATGAGCAATATCCCAGAAATTTCGAGTGCACATTATTACACATCCGGAAAAAAAAAAAAAAAACCAAAGATAAAATAGAGAGAATCTAGTTAGAATACTTGAAATTACACACCAAAAATAAAATAAAGAGAATTTGGTCAGAATACTTCAAATTACATAACAAACTGTAATAATTAAATTACTCATCATTGATGTTTTCTTCCATCTCCGTTGTTGCTGCCTTTTGAGTCTTACCTCATGTCTTCTTCCACATAATTAGAAGAGCTTTCTGGCTTACTCAATAAATAACATATATAAAATTAATTATAATGATACACCTTAATGAAGTCGAAAGAAATTTAAACCCTTCATGTGATTAATGAAGTCGAAAGATACTTGAAAACCACAAAACTCTTTTTTTTTTTCCTGTTTTATCCTCTTACACACATAGAGCATTAATTGATTCACCCACCTATCACTTCGATAAATAAAAAGAAAGCAGGGATGCACAAATATAATTGACATGCTGCTTCAAGTTTGGCAAGAGCAACTTCCAACTTCAAAGAAAGCTGATGGTTTTCATTTGCCAACGCCTCAATCTGCAAATAAAAGGAAATAACCCTTGCAGATTAGACAGATGAAAAAACATGATAGTACATATGCTTATGAGAATAACCTTTTGGGGATCTGCATACAAGCTTTTGTGCACTGAAGCTGGGCTTTCACAGAAGTCAGAGTTTTTATTCCTTGCCTGATTTCACAACCAACAGTAAAAGAACATAAAAATAAAGGCTTCAAATAAGTAATGCAACTGGATAGAACTGACTAAACACAAAAGCTAATTATCTCCCTGGAGGAATGCACTACCTTTGAGTTCATTGTTTCCAATAGTTGTACAAGATAGTCAAATTTTTCTTCCATGCTTTTCTCCCTTGAGGATGACCCATGCATGTTATGAGCAGGCTGCTCATCTTCACTTTCACCTTCGCTATCAGTTATATCTTCAATCACATGCTCCATATTCTGATTTTCAGTAGGCACAATACGATCTTGGATACGTAAAGATCGCCTAACAACAACACCATAGCACTTTGGCCTTTTCCTATATGTTTTGATACCTTGTTCTTCAATTGGAAGTATCATATTCCCTTTGGCCTTTTCCTATATGTTTTAGTACCATGATCAATAAGTAGTAAAATGAACTAAAATATGTAGAATTTCAGCCAAAAACTCTTCCTTCGTTTCTCCTCGAGTGCACATTACTATTTGTTATTGAAGCTGCATATGTGGCCATGCATATGAGCAACATCCCAAAAATTATGACTATACTTTATTACACCGAAAATAAAACAAAGAGGGATATGTCTAAACACTTAAAATTACACACCGAAAATAAAATAGAGAGAATGGTGTCCATATACTTCAGATTACATAACAGACTCTAGTAATTAAATTAGCCCTGTGTCGCAATCTTTCATATAGGCACATGGAGGCGTCGTGTTGTAGTCGTGTGTTGTAGCCATTCATATGAACATGGAGCGGTCGTGTTGCGGCTTTTTCAATAGTTATTAGGGGAATGTTAGCCTCTAGGCTACTATAGGTAGAGAAGTCTAAGGAAATTTAAACCCTCCATGTGGTTAATGAAGTCGAAAGAAATTTAAAAACCACAAAACTCCTTTTTTTTTCCCATTTTATTCTCTTACACAAATATGGCACATTACTATTTGTTACCGAAACTGCATATGTGGCCAAGCATATGAGCAACATCCCATAAATTCCGACTGCACATTATTATGCTGAAAATAAAACAAAGGCGGATATGTCCTAATACTTCAAATTACACACCGAAAATAAAGTAGTGAGAATGTTGTCTGAATACTTCAAATTACATAACAAACTCTAGTAATTAAATTACTCATCGTTGATGTTGCTGCTACCTCTGTTGCAGTTGCCTTTGGAGTCCTCCCCCGTGTTTTGTTCCTCAAAATCAGAAGAGCTTTCATGCTTACTCAATAAATAACAAATACAAAATTAATCATAATGATCTTCCATGACCAAGGTAAATGGAAATTATAAATACTCAAAAACAAAAGAAAGGAAAGGAAGAGAAATGCTATTCCAAGTCCCCCAAACCGTGGAAGTCCTCCAGAGAAATATTTTCCATCCACGTTGAAGTCGATATAAGGCGACTCTTAATCAAAGTCTTTTTTGATGACTCGGAATAAAATTTCGGAACAAAAAATATTACTTTTCTCCTCCCAATCTTCCGCCTCAATAATATTTAGCTTAAGGTGAGAAGCCTTCCCTCGAATACTTGAAAATGTGATTGTATCTAAGGATTTATCCACGACAAAGTGTGTGCCTTTTCACTTTTCGCTGCCCTCAACAAGGCTTGCCACCACATCCATGTTATCGTTCCTTTGGACAAACAACGTGTCGAGGGTGTGAATTTGTTATGGATATCGATCTTAATCAGCATTTGCTCTATTATTCTTTTTCTTGCCTCTTCCATAATTTGGTAGACCCATAATTATACATGACTTACGCAGGAGGCAGGTCAATTTCAAAGAACGAGGAATAGTTATAAAGAGAAGAGAGGAAGAAAGAAAAATAGAAGAGAGAGATGAAAGAAAGCGCAAATACAATGTTAGATGGAATAATGAGGCTACTGCCGAGGATATGGAGGCTTATAGGATGAAGAAAGTTCATGATGATGATCCAATGAAGGATTTCCTCAACTGATGGAACCCTTCTCTCAAAATACATTCAAGGTTGATATCATGATGTACCCTTCTCTCAGTTGTGATCACTGTAAGCTAAGTACGGAGGAACCTGTAGTTATATTGCTATTACATGAACTACCCTGTGTCATGACTGAAGAAATTTGGGGTACCACCCCAAAACCAATTGGCAATGGGGGCAGTAGCCCAACTCCTTATAAACCCAGGTTAGGTCCCTTAACTTTTCAATGTGGGACAAGTACTCTCAACACGCCTTTGCACGTGTGGCGAACTTTCAAGCCTAACACGTGGACAACACATATTTGGTGGCGTGGGAGCATGTGTGGCCGTTGGGCCCAACACATGAAGCCTTCCTCTGATACCATGAACAAAGTTGAGGTTCCACCCCAAAACCAATTGGCTAGGTCCCTTTAACTTTTCAATGTCGGACAAGTACTCTCAACAATGACATTACTTTGAATTAGCTAATTATGTTGCTGTTCTGGACGTTGTGAATCAATTGTTCAAAAGCAAAACTGCAATGATTTTCTTCTCTTATTAGGTCACCTAATGTATCAACATGAAGAAACATTTATTTAATTTAAAGTGTAAACTGTGAACATACTTCCCACTAAATACGCTGCATAAGAAAGAAAAGAACCCAAAGTTTATACAGAAGGGAAGTGCTGAAACAAGCAGACTGCAAATAATGGCCAATTCTTTGAGTGTTTGAACATGGCAGCATTGTGGAAATTGCCAACTGTTTTTGTTGTGGAGAACAATTTGTGGGCTATTGGATGTCACATTTGAGGGCTACTTCCGATACGGAAATTTGGAAGTAGGGTTCTGCATTTTGTATGCCTGGTGGTGTTCATGTGGATGGGATGGATGTTTTGAAGGTAAGGGAGGTTGTAAAGGAGGTGATTGGAAGGGCCAGGAGAAGAGAAGGACCAACATTGGTGGAATGTGAAACATACAGGTTCAGAGGACATTCATTGGCCGATCCCGATGAGCTTCGTGACCCTGGTGAGTATTTGAATTATGTCTTTCCTCTTTTAGATATATCATTGTTTTAGACTTTTTACTCAATTCTTGGAGAGATGTTAATGCTTCTGCTCCTACGCTTTTTCGAGTCAAAATTTGTCTATGCTTCTGTCTCCAGCTCCTTTTTGGTTCTGTTTCTGCCAACAGTTTCTTCTGTGATTTACCTATTGAGTTTTAATATCATGATTTTTTTTAATGTTTTGTTGGATTATCGACTTGAGCCACTATATGAAGTTTGAATTGGATAGTTTCTTCCGTGTTAGTTTTTTATCTTTTCATTTCTGATATGCTGATTTTTTTTAATTTACTTGTGTTGGATTATGTAGAACTCCCCGCTCTATTGGAGAGCATAATTCTCTCATTTTGCAGCCAGCATATTCACTTCTTAGTCATCCATATCATTTCATTCCTTTGAATCGAAGTTGCTAAATATTAACCAATATGATTGGTTCCATTTTAGCAGATGAGAAGGCACACTATGCTGCCAGAGACCCCATCACAGCCTTAAAAAAAATTACATACTTGAGAACAATTTGGCCACTGAACAAGAGTTGAAGGCCATACATAAGAAGATCGATGAGTTGGTTGAGGATGCCGTTGAGTTCACAGATGAGAGGCCGCTTCCACCTCGCGGCCAGCTGCTTCAGAACGTGTTTTCTGATCCAAAAGGTTTTGGAATCAGGCCTGATGGCAGCTACAGATGTGCAGATCCTAAGTTCACTCAGGGCACTGCTCATGTCTAATATATGTTGGATCTCTAGCAATCAACGTGTGCTAGCTCTCTGTTCCTAGATATATGCATGGTGTTAAATTTTCAGTTACTGCTAGCATTTACTTTGTCACTTAACAAGATGATATCAGCCTGATCTACTGTAAGCAGGAACATGTTTGTTAATTGTTTCAGTTTTGGTCATTTTACCGCTCATTTTAAAAAATTTCCTTGTTTATGTCAAAAATTAAATATAAAAAGAGTTTGTGTCAAAATTAAACGTGATTAACAAAATTGACATTCGGCTTAATCTGGCGATATAGTCCTAAGTATGCGAGTAACTTCACAAATTTTGAACTTCGAAAATTAACGAGGCTGACAATGGAAGCATGAATAGTACTCTTCTACACAATTGAGTTCCAAAATTATGTACATGTTCAGGGTAAAATAGTACTGAAAAATCTGGTACAAAAATTGTAAGAAATGGTAAAAATAAGAATGAAGATATGATACTTAAGAAGAAGAAACAACAAAAGAAGGCGACAGGTAAGTGTCAATTCAGACGGGGATTACAACTTAAGAGCGGAAATTGCTTCAGGTTTAAAATCAACTCTCAGACCCAAAACTCGCCTGACCTCAGCTGGCGTCAGTCTCCAGGTCATAGGTCCTGAGTTCTCACCCCAGAAATCTAAAATCTCCGAGACCTTTTCTAAGTTGAGGATTGTTGCCATTTGAGTGAGACGAGCAAACTTGTCTCGAACAGTCCTTTGAGTCATACTAGAGAAGTGGCTTACCAATGCCCTAGCATCTCTGTCCAGCTGAAGGCCTCCAAGTTGACTGAATCTCTTCTGGATCATAGTTGCTTCAAGCCTCTTCACAATGAAGTCAATTACCAAATGTACAAATGAGTCATAATTGTTGGCAGTCATTAGTGGCTGGAGCCACACTACATTCGTCTCAACAGCATGAAGAAGCCTTTGGACCCATGGGTCATTAACCTCATTGTCGGCATATTGAGCCTCTGACAGCTCATAGCTGATGGTCCCCACATAATCTAGCACCGGACGGAGGCGGGGTGCCACTGTTGCCACAAGTTGTTCCAAGCCAGCATTCAAAGCTTGCTTGAATGTGTTGCTCATATCCCCTAATTCAGACAGACAGGACTTAACTTTTTCTCTATCAACTGGTGCAGGAAATACCTGATAAACATGATATCATTTTTGTTAATACCTGATATTGGAAACACTTTTTATAAAGAAGCAAATAATATGTAGGGAAAAAAACATTACAATCCAACAAAAAGGATGATCACATCAGATGATAACATCTAACATGAACCCAAGAGACCAAGATGGATATAAAGAAGCCGAAACATTAATAGCCAGCGCATTTGCTAGTGTATACAACATCATATTAAAGCAACTAACAAGGCAGATGTGACCTACCAAGATGGATAAACATTTGCTGGAGTTTACAGCCAAGAAGGT